CATCCATTTAATCTAATATCTGGAAATTTTTTAGAAAGATGTAATGTTTTCTTCTATAGGCTAAGTGAAAATATTCTGTAGCATCATGGTTTGATCAACAAATGAGTTGCAAATGGCCTTGTGTGGTCATAAGTCTGCCTTTTCTGCTTTGTCTTTGCTGACATTTGAAGTAATTATCAAATGTTGCATGCTGCTCAACATAACAGCTTCATTCTGCATTTATTTCTTCAGAAATACCACCTTTCTTCATGCTGATCATACCTCCTTTGGCACCTGAAGAACAAAATATGCAGTCAATGAAACCTCTGAGCACTTCACTGTGCATGTATTAACAAAATGTATGATTCTAGTGTCGTATTTAAAAAAACCTCATAGACAGAAAATCCGATGGTGAGGAATTTGAGCCCTTTGTGACGCAGCATCCTGCGACCTTTTTGCATCAGCGCCACGACGACTGTGCAGACCACCTGCCCATCCTCTGGATCATCATCTTCCTCGTACAGCTGCAGCCGATACTGAGGGTTGGTCCAAAACGTGTCTGCAGCCAGAAAACGTTTCAGAGTTTTGTGTTTTTAGAAATTCTGTAAAAGTTGGTGCAACACTTTCAAACCTGGGGAGTTCCTGCAACCACCAGCAGAGCTGCCTCTCACCCAGCGACCCTCGTGGACCGACACAGTCCAGGTTTGTCTCTCGTCATCCTGCAGAGTGTCAGGGGTCAGATTACACATCTCCAGCTTGGTGAAAGTCTTCTTAAAGTCATCAAAGGACATCCTGGAGAGAAATCACTGAAGCATAAAGTTGTAGAAAGAGCACAAAAAAAAAAACCTCTGAATGGTAAATTTGTCTGTATTTGCTGCTAGGGATCAAACCTACAACCTTCTGATTACTGGACAACCCGCTTTACCTCCTGAGCGCCTGCTGCCCCTTAATAGATGGTAAAGCTTTAGGTAAACATTATGGAGCCATGATGGAGGCTCTGTGGAGCTACATGGCTTCACAAACATGTGACACTGGAAAAAATGTGGATTTTTAAAGCTATGTTTTGTTTTGATCAGCTGTGAGGCAAAAATAAAAAAAATTCAAGTGGTGTCAAACAAAAGTGATGGCATCACACATAGTTGCTCCTATAACAAAAGGAGCATTTCATCAAATTAACATCTACAGAAGAGTGCACTACATATGTAGGTTTTCCTGACAGTTTCTTATAATTTCAGGATCTATTGGTAGAGCAGTCATGGTAATTATACTCACCAGAACTCGCTGGTCTCTACAGTCTGTTTCTTTAGATTCTCTCTGTCTGCAGGGGAGATGGTCAACCACTCCTTCGAGCTATGGAAAGGTCAAAAACACAACCTTAACAAAGAACAGAACCTAAAGGATTAAATAAGCCTTCAGAGACCTGCAGCATCATTGTAAAAGACTCAAAGCAGCTATAATGATCAAAGATTACATAATTTGGGTTTTAGGACAAAACTTTTGGCAGATCTGTCACATTGTGTCTTACTTGGGACACCAGGGTCCCTTCCAGAGCACAATACCCCAGGGATTACGTAGTCGGATCAGGGAGATTTTGGTGTCCTTTGAAACTTCGTCACACTAGAATTAAAAGAAACAAAAAATATACATTTTTAAGCAAATATGCATATTTGTATTGAATGAATTATTCTAATGCACCTCTTCCAGGGCTATTATGGAGTAGGCATGACCCCTGATCAATCCCAGTTCCGTCCGAGACTCCATTTCTTTGGCTGATGAAACCTAACAAACACAAACCATTTTAAAGAAAAGAATATCTTCTTTTGTCCTCTTAATCATCTACATGCCCGCATGAGTAGTGCATTGAAATATTGTAATGTTGACTATAAAATATGACTTTCGTACATCTATGGAGCTGCCCATTAGCGAGCCTCTCTCCAGAGCCTTCTTCATGATGCTGTAAAGGTCTGTGGGAGCCTCTGACAACTCAAAAAACTCTGTAACTCCACCGGTAAAATCCTCCATGGCTTCCAGCGTATTGCCCCCTTTAAGAGCCTCATAAGACCCATGCAACCTGAGAAAGAGAGACGTGAATCATTCCTGTTACAGCGCTGACACTTTGGATTTCAGAGGCTTTGTAACAGTCTGCAGCCAACTTAAGCAACATGAGAAGATATGTCTGTTGTTGGTGTGATTATGATGCAAAGACTTAGACCTTGCAGTGATAATGTCAGTTTTGTCAGTTATTTACAATATGTTGTGATATGACATATTATACAATACAGTCTGATATGGTACAATTTGATATGATACAATAAAACATGGTATGATACAATGTTATACAATACATTTTGGTAAACTTCAAAAGGATACAATGTGGTACAACACAATACGGTATGGTATAAAATTCTACAGTATGATTTGGGGCAATACAATATGAGACAATATGATTTAATATAAGTTGATACTTTACAGAAGGATACAATACGATAAGATATGAAATAGTTCTGATACAACATATAATGTTATACAATACAATACAATTTGGTACCTTGAAAAAATGTGATATGGTGCAATGTGATATGATGAGATACAATACGCTACAACATGATACAATATTGCATATATAAACGATATAATATTATATATTACAATACAATACCATATGATACATTACAATGTGATGCCATACGATACAAAACAAAATTTAATAAAATGTTAAAGAATACAGCATTAAATGTGTTATGAACACATGATACGAAATTACTATATTTGATATGGCGTGATACAATACGATATGGCATGATATCATAGGGTATGTTACGATACAATACGATATGATGTGGTACCGTATGACACAAAACGTTACGATACGATACGATACGACACAATACAATACAACACAAAATGTTATGATACGATAAAATACGATACGACACAAAACATTATGATACGATACGACACAATACAATACAACACAAAATGTTATGATACAATGTGATACAATATGATACGACACAAAACGTTTTGATACGATACGATACAATACGATACGACACAAAACGATACGACACAAAACGTTATGATACGATACAGTACGATACGATACGACACAAAACGATACGACACAAAACGTTATGATACGATACAGTACGATATGATACGACACAAAACGATACGACACAAAACGTTATGATACGATACGACACAAAACGTTATGATACGATATGACACAATACGATATGACACAAAACGTTATGATACAATGTGATACAATACGATACGACACAAAACGTTATGATACAATGTGATACAATACGATACGACACAAAACATTATGATACAATGTGATACAATACGATACGACACAAAACGTTACCATACGATACGATACGATACGACACAAAACGTTATGATATGATACAGTACGATACGATACGACACAAAACGTTATGATACGATACGACACAATACCATACGACACAAAACGTTATGATACGATACGACACAATACGATACGACACAAAACGTTAAGATACGATACGACACAATACAAAACGACACAAAACTTTATGATACGATACAGTACAATACGATACGACACAAAACTTTATGATACAATACGATACGACACAAAACGTTATGATACGATACGACACAATACGATACGACACAAAATGTTATGATACGATATGACACAATACAAAACGACACAAAACGTTATGATACAATACGACACAATACAATACGACACAAACTGTTATGATACGATACAACACAATACAAAACGACACAAAACGTTATGAAACGGTACAGTACGATACGATACAACACAAAACGTTATGATACGATACAGTACAATACGATATGACACAAAACGTTATGAAACGGTACAGTACGATACGATATAACACAAAACGTTATGATACGATACAGTACAATACGATATGACACAAAACGTTATGGTACGATACGATATGACACAAAACGTTATGATACGATATGACACAATACGATATGACACAAAACGTTATGATATACGAAATGATATAACATAAAATGATATGATATATGATACGATACGACATGAAATGAAATGATACAATATGACGCAACACAATACGATATGGTGTGATAGGATGTGATATAATTTTGTAATGTCTGTGTTGTAAACCTGAACCAGGCTGTAGTTATAAACAGAAGCATGCGTGAGACAATGGCCTGATGCAGTAAAACCTAATTCTCTTCAGACTGCAGAAGACATAAAAGGTAATAATAATAATCTGCTCACTTGGCATAAGCTTTTTCCAAAAGAGCGCTCCAGAACTCATTCTTTCTGAATGACTTGGTGAAAACCAGATGGTTGTTGCAGGTAGGGATGCGGTCATCCACAACCACATCAACCCATTCACCATAACGCCAGAACTGAAAAAAATAAATAAATAATTATAATAATAATAATGATAAATGACCCGCACTTGTATAGTGCCTTTCAGAGTCAGGACTCCAAAACGATTTACACTGCAGTGCATAATTAGTCACCAGGTAAGAATTGTTAGCTAAGTAGACTATAACACTTATAAAATATTAAATATCTTATGAACTCAATAAATGACTTTAAAGTAGTTTTATATGAGATTTTCTTTTGTATTATCATAACCCAGCTATATTTATTTATTGTTTATTCATGGGGGTGTATAGTTTGTTGCTGAGCATTTTTGTTTTCGTGACAGTATTATTTGCAGCAGGGTGGCTAAAATGTTTGTGCAAAACCTGGAAGTGGAAGATCCCAGCGTAATTTTCTGTAAAGCTCTGGTCTCGAGGAATCACTCTGTACAGCAGCTTCTCATTCAGAGTCAGACAGGCGATGGCAGCGAGTAACCAGCAGTCACCTGTCAGCAGCAGATTCAACCAAACACACCAGACACGTTAATCCTCTACATCCTTTACCCTTTAATAATCAGTCATGAATTTATCCCACTCAGGTATTACCCAGCTCTCCTTGACAGATATCTGTTCTGTTGGCTCCGTCCACAATGAAGTGGGGGTTGTCACAGATTTGCTGGAAGATGAGTGAGAGATCATTTGTTAGCTTTAATTCAGAGTCACGCAAAAGTATTATTTTTACAACTGCTCCAGTTTCCCAGTATTGGCATTTTATTTTATTACTGCATTTTTTCCACATCAGTCAACAAATATAAATTAAAACCATGATTTTCAATAATTTTACAATATAAAAAATAAAGGCAAGCGAAAGCTCAATAAATCAGGCGACACTCTGTTCCCTTTGGTACATGATCTGCCATAACTGAAGCTGTAAAAATGTTCCTAAATTAGAGTCCGCTCTACAGCTGACTCCCTGGAATGGGTTCATGTAATGTTGATCTCTTCCAAATGTCTCAGGACATCTGTGGTCAGACCAAAATCACACCATGTGTGTTTATTTCCCAACGTGTTTGAGTTTTCTTGTGTATTTTGACATGATTGTATCAGAATATTACTTGATAAATTTGCAAATTACAAAAATGACAGAGATGAACTGAATTAAAAAGCTAATTGTGAGATGTTTTAAATCACGTTAAATTAATGCAAAGAGTTGCTATGTAATGAGGTTTATATGTAAAATAGACAGTGTAATTTATGAGGATCTAATAAAAAGTGGATTTTTTTGGTTTTGTATTTTTTATACAGCCTTCTTTGCTTAAATTTATTGGGTATAACATATTATTGGCCTGGAGCACCATAAAAAAACATTTTTATTTCTTTACTTTCACACAGGCTAAATAAGAATAGTGAGTGTGACCTCAATACAAATTTCTACAGTTTTTCTATAAAGTTATCAGATATTTTAAAACAGTTTTCGCTAACAGTTTACAATAAGGGTCCCTTTATTAAAGTAAATTTGTGCATTATTAAGCAATGATAAATTAAAATATCGACAACTGCATTTCTAAGCAGACACCTCCTGGCCCTTTGGCCTAACTAACCTTAAGGATACTTAGTAGTCAACAATATCAGGAACATTAATAAAAGGACCTTTATTGTAAAGTGTTACCCTGTTTTCCCTTAAATGTGTCGGTGTTGATGATGTACTTTCACACGGGTCACTTGATTAGACCCTAATGGTGCATTGTAAATGGATCCATTAAAAGCTGAGCTGTGCAGCTCCTCTCTTTTCCTCTCCCAAGCCCATGGCGAGGGGAGGATTTAATTTGAAGGGTGCCTCTCCGTAACATCCTCTCCGGAGGAGACAAAGTGAGAACCTATTTGGTTACCAAGTCTGTATCATCAAGCGTTTGCTTTCAACTCCTCTAAACTCCTAGAAGTAAGAGTGTCATGTTGTAACATTTGTGTGTTCATCTGAGGGTCTACCTTTAGGTCTCCTCCCGGTTGGACGTGCCGGAAAACCTCATCAGGGAGGCGTCCAGGAGGCATCTGACCAGATGCCCGAGCCACCTCAATTGGCTCATCTTGATGTGGATGAGCAGCGGGTCTACTCCGAGCCCCTCCCGAATGACCAAGCTTCTTGCCCTATCTCTAAGGGAGAGCACAGCCACTCTTCGGAGAAAACTCATTTCGGCTGCTTGTATCCGCGATCTCGTTCTTTCGGGCACTACCCAACGCTCATGACCACAGGTGAGGGTAGGAACGTAGATCGACTGGTAAATCAAGAGCTTTGCTTTCTGACTCAGCTCTCTCTTCACCACGACAGACCGGTACAACGCCCGCATCACTGTAGATGCAGCACCAATCCGCCTATCAATCTCACGCTCCAGTTTTCCCTCACTCGTGCACAAGACCCCGAGATACTTAAACTCCTCCACTTGGGGCAGGACCTCATCCCTGACCCGGAGAAGGCATTCTACCCTTTTCCGAATCAAGACCATGGTCTTGGATTTAGAGGAGCTGATTCTCATCCCAGCTGTTTCACACTCGGCTGTGAATTGCTCCAGCAAAAGCTGAAGATCACGTTCTGATGTAGCCAACAGGACCACATCATCTGCAAAAAGCAGAGACCTGATCCTCAGGCCACCAAAATGTATGCCCTCCACACCTTGGCTGCGCCTAGAAATCCTGTCCATAAAGGGTATGAACAGAATCGGTGACAAAGGGCAACCATGGCGGAGTCCAGCTCTCACTGGGAACGAGCCCGACTTACTGCCGGTAATGCGGACCAAGCTCTGACACCGGTCATACAGGGACCTAACAGCCCATATCAGAGGGCCTGGTACCCCATACTCCCAGAGTACCCCCCACAGGGCCCCCGAGGGACGCGGTCAAACGCCTTCTCCAAATCCACAAAACACATGTAGACTAGTTGGGCAAATTCCCACGCACCCTCCAGGATCCCCCTAAGGGTATAGAGCTGGTCCAGTGTTCCACGGCCAGAACGAAAACCACATTGCTCCTCCTGAATCTGAGGTTCAACAATCCGACGGACCCTCCTCTCCAGAATCCCTGAATAGACCTTACCAGGAAGGCTCAGGAGTGTGATCCCCCTGTAGTTGGAACACACCCTGCGCCCCCCCTTTTTAAATAAGAGGACCACCACCCCGGTCTGCCAGTCCAGTGGGACTGCCTCCGATGTCCATGCGATATTGCAGAGCCACGTCAGCCAACACAGCCCCACAACATCCAGAACCCCAAGGAACTCCACCCCTGGAGTCTTGCCACAGAGGAGCTTTTTAACCACCTCAGTGACCTCAGCACCAGAGATTTGAGAGTCCAACCCAAAGTCCCCAGACTCTGCTTCCTCACTGGAAGAGGTGCCGGTGGGATTGAGGAGGTCTTCGAAGTATTCTGCCTACCGATCCACAACATCCTGAGTAGAGGTCAGCAGCACACCGTCCCCACTATAGATAGTGTTGGTAGCGCACTGCCCTGACCCCCCCCCCCCCCCCCCCCCCCCGCGGCACCAGATGGTGGACCAGAATCTCCTCGAAGCCATATGGAAGTCTTGCTCCATGGTTTCACAGAACTCCTCCCATGCCCGGGTTTTTGCCTTGGCGACCACCCGAGTCGCGTTCCGCTTGGACTGCCGGTACCCGTCAGCTGCCTCTGGAGTCCCACAGGCCAAAAAGACCTGATAGGACTCGTTCTTCAGCTTGACAGCATCCCTAACCGCCGGTGTCCACCAGCGGGTTCGGGGGTTGCCACCACAACAGGCACCGACGATCCTGCAACCACAGCTCCAGTCGGCTGCCTCAACAATGGAGGCACGGAACAGGGTCCATTCAAACTCAATGTCCCCCGCCTCCCCCGGAACATTTTGGAAGTTCTGTCGGAGGTGGGAATTGAAGCTCCTTCTGACAGGAGACTCTGCCAGACGTTCCCAGCAGACCCTCGCGATACGTTTGGGCCTGCCTGGTCTGACCGGCATCCTCCCCCACCATCTGAGCCAACTCACCACCAGGTAGTGGTCAGTTGGCAGCTCCGCCCCTCTCTTCACCCGAGTGTCCAAGACATGCGGCCGCAGGTCAGATGAAACAACAAAGTCGATCATCAAGCTGCGGCCTAAGGTATCCTGGTGCCAAGAGCACATATGGACACCTCTATGTCTGAACATGGTGTTCATTATGGACAATCCATGACTGGCACAGAAGTCCAATAACAAAGCACCACATATATATATATATATACGTTTTAGATTATGAAGAATTTGTAAAAGATTCCAGGGTTTATTTAGAAATTTCTGGGACCTTTTAGCATTTTGAAAAAACAAAAAAAAAATTCCACTTTGATTACTTTTTCTAGGTAAATTATCATAAACGTTTATTTTAGATGTGCATTTTGTCATGTCTGCATTTTCACCTCTCATCTGTGCTTGCACGTTTGTGTCACTTGCTGCCAAACGTTTCAGTCACATGCTATTGGAGCCATGTGTCGGTTAAGACAAACCACTCACAGCTTCCGAAGCCTTTTGGATGCATACATCTGAAAACTCTGGGAGTATCTTTCTGCTTCGCAGTGTGAGACTTGTGTGGGAATCAGATGACTGTTAGTGTAGAAGGCGATAACCCAGAGCCATGCACCTCCTTCTCTGAGCTTTTACAAACCTAACAGAGCTTTCGTTTGATCAAGTGCAACTTAAAATATCAAGAGAGCAGCACTCACCGTGGGACGCTTCCACTCAAACTTCATTGAAGGTTTCTGACTGTAAAAAAGTGAGGAGTCGTTTGCAGGGAACAGCGGATCCTCAAACAAAACGTTTTTCTCTACATATTTGTCTCGCAGCTCCAAAAACGTCTTCAAACGCTTTGCATCTTTCACAGCCTCATTTCTGCTCAGGATTGCAGAATAGATGGAGTTCCCCCCAGCGATGCCATAATCAACGTTGCCATCAGGCTCCAGGGACGCCTCGGTTTCATAAAGCTGTTTCACCTTTGTTTCCTCAATCACAGGAACTTTTCCTGCATCCTTCTTGTCCCCCATCACCTCAAATCTGAAAAAGAAGCTTCGAGATCTTTCTTCCCTTTGCAAAAAAAAAAAAGCATACGAGTTGCGAAACTACCCTAAGAAACTTCCTGTATCCTCCCTGATTCCGATAATCACTTTTAGTTCCTTTTATTTATCTGGAGTAAGCTGTCACTAAGCCTGAACACCCAGACTCTTACGCCAGTAATGTCCACCATGGGCCTGTTGCATCTAAATATAGACTTGAAGGGAGGAGGCTACCCACAGGGAGGTCATGTCCAGAGATGTTTGCAGAGTCACACAATCTGAGATAGGTACACTATTCTACAGAGGTAACGAAATAACTCTATATTGTTTTTGCAAAAATATGTCCTAAATAAACAAATTTACTTACTGTAATTAAACACCTACACTACATTTGATTGTTTCTGATCATTTTTTGTGTAAATATTTTAACATCTGACAAAATACATGAGGTCATGATTATTTATTTGACAACAAAACCAGAAAGGGGTTGCATCAAAACAATTAAAAAGTGCAAATTTTAGATTTTGTTTTTAACCAGCAAATCTATGGAGTTTGTTTTGCGCATTGGTGTCATCTGCAGGGTTAGAGAGATAGAGAATGTTAGGACTTGTCCCTGCAAAAAACTAGATTCTAAACTCAGATGTCAGCAACATTGCCACCTAGTGGTAAAATATAAAATGCACCCCCTTTCGATTGTTGGTGATATAAACATAAAATTAATCCTTAAGGACCCATGGTGACACTGGTGTCACATTCAATTTCAAACATCTGCAAAATTGCTTCTTGAGTCAAATATTCGTTTCAAAACACTGAGTAACATTCTATCTATTCATATATTGAAAATTATTTTACTTCTTTATTTTATTTATTTATTTACATTTTGATGTATTTATTCGAATCTGTTTTCTAATTCATAAGGTGTTGGGTTCTAAAGGGTTAAAATTATCTGTTGTCTGCACCCCAAATAGATACAAATGTGATTCTGTAGAAAAGGGTTGCCAAGTTTGAGAAAAATGTGCCGGTCAATGTTTCTACAAATATAGTACAGGTACAGCTCAACCTATAGCTCAGGGTCTACATGTGGCCCTTTGGCCCCTTTAAAGTTTCATCATGTAACTTTTTAACCTGGCAAGCCATCAAATATATGTAAATATACAGTCTGGCCATGACCCATAGATTGAGCTCGGTCATGAGGCACAATATATGAATCTGGGACCAATCAGACAAACAAACACATTACTTCAAAGAGGTCGACTGATATTGGTTTTGCTATTGCCGATACCGATGCTGGTGTAGGAGACTTGGTCAGCCGATGGCCGATATGTATTTCCGGTTTTCATGGCCAATATGTAGACATTTTCCTCCTCATTCCATGCCAAAATGTCACTAATGACATCAGTTGATGCACAACATTTCTGAAGCATTTAACCAACTGTTAAATCTTAACATTGTGCACTGCTCAGTGTTTAAGTCAGACATCTAAAGTTAATTTAGAGTATTTATTATGCAGATGATATTAGTAAACGTAAAAATGCATTTAAATTAAATTCTGCAACAGCACCCGAGAATGTCCCTGACTTTAAATTGGCTTTACTAAGGACAAATGTCGGCCAATGCCGATGTTTAAAAAATGGTAAATATCAGCCCAGCATATTGGCCAACAGGGCCGTTGCTAGCTATTTTGGTGCCCTAAGCACAAAGGCTTCGTGGTGCCCCCCCACCCCCACCCACCCCGCAGAAAAAACAACACAATAACACAGTATGTGCAAGCGCTTCGCCTTAAATGATCTTTAATTCTCTTGTATACACAAACTGCTTATTATTTACAAAAAGTAGGACTGATATTTACATAATATAACATACTCAACACAGGAACTTCATATTGTTATTATTTAGAACTATGTAACAGATCCACACAACACAAGCACCGGTTGTGGCACATGTGTTTCTCCAATGTAATTTTCAGATGCTTTTTCAGATCCAGGACTCACTCTGCCTTCTGAAGTGCTGGCTGTGGGCTGTGCTCGGTCTGCAGGTGTGCTTTACTTTGTAATTCCTGGTCAGGGCTGGGTGATGTTGTAGAAGGTTCAGACGTGATGGCTCTTGAACTGCTGGTGGATGGCTGATCTGAACTTTTGGCTTGAGCTCCTCCTTGAATGTACTTGTTCATTGAGCCTGCATTCAAACACAAAAAGATGATTTGTCATATTCATTCTATAATAAGATAAAAGTTTTAAACCATGGTAAAAAACTGCAATAGATTATTTATAGGTTTATATTATAAATCACTGGCATGTGACATGACTAAATTCAAAACTATTTAACCTTTATTAAGGACTAGAGAGGCACAATGTACACATTTTATACACAACTAGAAAATTCTAATATGAAGGGAGGAGGTTAGCATAATGGACTTTTTTCTTCAAATTATACCATCAACAGCTGATGTTCCTCTTGGCCCGTAAATGTTTATGAAATATAAATCAACATAGAGCAAATACCTAGTGTGAAAATAGGTTTATCTAATTTTTAATATTAAATCTCAGTTACATAGCCTATAGGCCATGGGCTATTTAATAATGATATAAATCATGTCCATAGTTAACTCATGATTAATCACAAACAGCCGCTTATTTAAAAATAAAATGTCTTACTTTACCTTGACGGTGTTTTTGTCCTTCCTGTTTTTGTGATATTTAAGTATTTGGGTGGACAAATATGATTCATTTGTTTATTTCTGTTTCAAAACAGCACAGATGGGCCTATCTGACCTCACAGAGGAAACTTTATTTTACTTGAGAAAGATGTTTTAAGATGAACTTATTAAAACAAAAAAATCTTCAAACTCTTCAAGGTTTATTTTTAGATGAACAACCTTTAACACTGTTCAGACTTATTTTTTAATCGCATGAACAGGCTGAATAAAAGGATATTTCCCTTTGTTGCATTTAACTATTTCTTCTTCTTTAAAGAAGTGCTGATTCAGAAGAGAATAACTGCATTTAGGAAGTTGATGACTTGCTACGTTTTTTCTCCAGCAGTAAAAAGCTCTAAAGCTTCTCTGAGTTTATTTCCCTCTCAGCCTCTCTCACTCAGCTACTAATGAACGCCCGGTAAGTGGACGGGAGGCTGCGGGACAGAGTGGCGCATTTTACTTTTAACAGACTGGAGAAGCAGAGAACGAAATCTGCCCAAACCACGCAGATAGAGTCAAAATGTTAAATGTACGGAAGCAGAGAACGAAAAACACCAAATAAAAGTCCTGAAAAGCAGCATGCTTATACCAAACTAGGCAAAATTTGACCATAAACAGATTAACAGCAGTAACAAGTCTGAATTTAAGCTAGGTCAAACGACCCTCTGAACTTGACCACACGTGTTTAGAATTAGGGATAGATAAAAAAAATTAAGAATTTCCATTAAAATACTTGTCTTACCTGCAATCGAAGCAACAGCATCATCTGTTTCTTCTTTTGTCTATTTACTGCCCCGGACTCCTGCAGCCTCTTCGGAGCCATCACTGTGCCCGCTGCGCTGCATCCTCTGCGGGGGGGTCGGGGATGGGGGGGGGGGGGGGGGGGGGTGACGGTGCGACACGGTTCATCTCCTTGCCGTTTTGTGTCGTTTTCTCTCTGTGAACATGCTGTTAACTTGCTTTGCACATCTTCTAATTGAAATCTGTCTGTATCATATACATATTATTTTTTTCATAAGCTTGCGTTTGGTGCCCCTCCCCCGGCGTGGTGCCCTACGCGCTGTGCGTGGTGTGCGTGTGCGGAGCGCCGGTGTTGTGCCATAAATCGACTCACTGCCAAAAAATGATTAGCTTAGTTTTGTCCAGTTCGGAAGTTGTTTTAAGTGTTGCTATTTGTCTTAAACGTTCACAATGAGGATATATTAATCCTTTTTGCAATATTTGCGATTGAAAGATGGTTTGTGGTAAGAACTGGCTTTCTTTATGTTACAGCCTTGATACTAAAAAAATAAATAAACAATGTAAAATGGCGCCCTGTATTGAATGTAAACGTTGTATAAATGTAAATAAACAATTCTCCAGCGATTTGATTTTTTCCCCTTCCTTTCTTTAGTGGCTAATCATTTTTTGGCAGCGAGTCGATTTATGGCACAACACCGGCGCTGTTGGCCAACCAATATATCGGTCTACCCCTACTTCAAAAAATTTGAAGCTGATAAAATAGTATGTGTTATTACTCTCTAGTGAAACTTTGTGACATTTTCTTACCAGACTGTGGACTCCACAGACATACATCTATGTCTATGGTGGACTCAGCTAAACGAGTGATTTTGTGTTTGAACCAAACGGGGAATAACAAAAGCCAAACCTGGCAACCCGCCTCTGCTCTCTGACGCTCTTTAGTTTGTTGTGCAGTGCGCATCTGGACGTTGCCATCACTAGCGGCTAAACGTGGAGCTAGCTGGCAAGTCGTCAGATTTAGCGGTGGATTATTCAGTTATTGGGTCATTAAACTTCTTTCTGAGACTTCTATCGCACTTTTGAGATGTCGCTGAGCAGCAAACGCGTTTAGTTGTGTCGCGGTGACGTGACATTTACTCACACCAGAGACTGGAGCTATTCCTTTAGCAGTCTGAAGTCTTGAGAAGCTGTAGAGGAGCGGTGGGGCTGCTGAAACGGTACCGAGTTAGCACCAGAGCTAGCCAGTAGGAGGCTAACCGGTAAAATTGACACTTTTAGTTGATAAACCTTCGTCCGTGAGCGTTGCTACACACAGCGGTAGTTTGTAGCTGCTAGCCTCGGAAAGAAACCAAGGACTTAGCAGCGCCTCGAAGCAAACAAAGATTTTAAGCTAGCAGGACTTTTAAAAAGCTGCTGGGTTTGGTCTGTTCCGGTGGGAGTCTGGTAAACTGGAGCTGTCATCGGCATATTTAGCGTTTTTAACAGGTAAGTAAAATCTTGTAAATGTTTTAATCTGACTTTAAAAGTCGCTCTTTTGTTTTCTGTTGAAGCCATAGACTTAACGCTAACCTCTGGCATCCGACTCCAGATGACTTTGCCAAAAACATCCCAGATGTAATAACGTTATTAGGAACATTTTAAATGCGTAATGTTTATGGTAACGTAAACTCACACCTCTAGAGAGTGTGTTGGTAGTCTAAAGGGGAGTGTGTGTGTGTCACGCAGCAGGCTGCTGGGCCTGACAGCTGAGATGTCTGAGGGAGAGAGCAAGCAGGCCCCGGACAGCGGTCAGGAGGCGAAGCCGGAGTCCGCCGCGGCTGCACCCGCAGTGTCGTCCGTGTCTCCCCCGGTTTCCACGGTGAGCCAGCCTCCTGCCACGATAGCCACGGAGGATGACGAAGAGGAGAGCGAGGATGAGTCCGAGATTTTAGAGGAAAGTCCGTGTGGACGCTGGCAGAAACGGAGAGAAGAGGTAAGGAAGCGAGATCAGACACTTTTAATGACAGATCCATTCAAGTGTTAAGAAAGTAGTTTTTAGCGTGTAAACAAAGCAAATATCCCAGCCATTGCATTAAAGTTATGCAATCTTATCTGATTTATTTTGTTTTAAATGCATTAAATGAGCAAAGGTGGAAAAATACTGCTTCACTTGTGGGTGCTGCTTTCTAGAGTTTGTCATTGAGCATTTCTGCAACTGTCAACAAGCTTTTGATCTTTTTGTTATGAAAGAAAAGAAAACCTTTTGCAAACATAGCAACTAGTTTAATTCTGATATCTGAAAGCCGTTCCTACATGCCCGGGCCAGGTTTGGCAGACTTGGGTTGCTTGAAGCAACATTTGTTTTATTTTGGCAGCGAGATAAGATTCTAAGGTGATCATCCAAATTTGAGTTCAAATAAGAACATACCTACAGACGACTCCACGGGGGGTTTGCAGATTTAGTTTCAGCTGCAGGAAAGCTGGAAACCGCAACCTAGTGATAAATAGTTTTTCCTCCAATTTCTTTTTAATGATTTTTTTCTTCCTATCTAAAGGTGAATCAGCGCAACGTGCCTGGGATCGATAATGCTTACTTAGCCATGGACACGGAGGAGGGAGTGGAGGTGGTGTGGAATGAGGTCATGTTCTCCGAGAGGAAGAACTTCAAACTACAGGAGGTAAGAGGTTTCTCGGCTAAGGATTCGCTTCTCGTCCTGTTTTCTCTCTCTGGAAGTCTGCTGGCCTTCAAGGCTGTTGCTGTCAACAATGTTCAAATTATAAAAAAAAGAAAAGCTTCAAAAACTGTTATTTGAAGAATATATAAAATATAAAATGCAGATATTGCATTTTATGTTTTTTCTCCTTGCACACAAGTCAAAAAAATTTTTTTACGACAGTCTTTTTTTTTTTTTGGCAAATGAGACTAAATGAGATTTTTGCTGTTTGCAGGAAAAAGTGAAAGCTGTGTTCGACAACTTAATCCAGCTGGAACATTTGAACATCGTGAAGTTCCACAAGTACTGGGCAGATGTCAAAGAAAACCGAGCCAGGGTATGAAATCCTCATCCTTCATTTTTATTTATTTAATTACAAATATTTGACGATTAAGACCATTCAGTCACTCGTTCTGTTTGTCGTTTATTTAGGTCATCTTCATCACGGAGTACATGTCTTCTGGAAGCCTCAAACAGTTTCTTAAAAAAACAAAGAAAAACCACAAAACCATGAATGAAAAGGTCTGAACAGACTGAGATGTGTTTACTAACTCAGTTTAAAAAAAATAATTTGTCATCTGTTTGGGTTTTGACAGGCGTGGAAACGCTGGTGCACACAGATCCTGTCTGCTCTCAGGTTAGCTTAACGTCACGGTTTCACTCTGTTAGCTTTAGGTGTCTTTACCCTCTAAAAGTGTGAGAAGTTTGTGTTTTAAGTCCTTAAACCAGTTTATTCTGTCGTCTCCAGTTACTTGCACTCCTGTGAGCCTCCCATCATCCACGGCAACCTCACCTGTGACACCATCTTCATCCAGCACAACGGCCTCATCAAGATCGGCTCAGGTGGGATTCAAATGGGGTTTTTCTGCCACTCTGACGTGTTTTTGTTTAAAAAGTTATAGATATTGTTGATATCGTCCTGAATGGCCTCTGTTTGGAGAAGTTTCAGGATTTTGCTTCATTTACAAGCGTAAATAGCAGCAGCAAAATGCAGCCTTTTCTGGGGTTTGGATTCAGATTATAAAATAATGGTGCATTAAATGTTGTTAAAGTTAGGACATTAGAGCTATTTGAAGACCACAGTAATGTGCTTTGGTCTTTCGTTTGAACAATTTGTTAGCTAATCTGTCCTGTAGGACGTAAAAGCTATTTCTGCAAACAGAGGCTGTTTAGAAAACCAGTTAAGTGGGTAAAATGTTAATTATTTTTTGACTTTCACAAATAAACACCTGAAATCACAGGTTTCATGATAAAAGGTTATTCGGTGTCACTCCCGCTAATATCTTTTCCCTTTTCCTCGCCCAGTTGCTCCCGACACCATCAATAATCACGTGAAAACCTGTCGGGAAGAGCAGAAGTGTCTTCACTTTTTTGCTCCAGAATATGGAGGTAAGTGGATTTGACGTTCCCGCGTCTGATCCGCTGTTTTTTGTGGCTCTAATTAGCTTTTCTTTGCTTCCAGCTGTTGCCAACGTCACCACTGCCGTGGATATTTATTCCTTTGGAATGTGCGCCTTAGAGGTGAGAGGGGCCTCAGCAAATACTCAGACCCATTCTGTTGCCTCCATTTGGAAATGAACGACTTTTGCAGAAAATAAATGTCCTTTTTACCCTTCTGGTTCTGAACTGTTCTAACTCCATTCTTTCAGATGGCTGTGTTGGAAATCCAGAGTAACGGAGATTCATCCTACGTGTCCCAGGAAGCCATAAACAGTGCCATCCAGTCCCTAGAAGACCCTTTGCAACGGGTGAGTGACAAATACGCGGAGTGGCTGCTGCTCAAGAGCAGAAGTTGAGTTTGTAATTTTAATTTTTTTCTCCTGTTTTAGGAATTCATCCAGAAGTGTCTGGAGGTGGATCCCAGCAAGCGTCCCACAGCCAAGGAGCTGCTGTTTCACCCGGCGCTGTTCGAGGTGCCCTTACTCAAGCTGCTGGCTGCACACTGCATCGTCAGCCACCAGCGTGAGTCAGCACACACACACACACACACACACACACACACACACACACACACACACACATAGACGCACTGTGTTGTGTGTACCAACACTGCCTTTTGGTGTCATGCTGTGTGCCAACTGTAACAGTTTTCTTTTTTGTGGTTTTGTGAGCAGACATGATTCCAGAAAACGCTTTAGAGGAGATGACTAAGAACATGGACCCTAATTTGGTCATTGTCGAGGCCAAGGAGGGGGTCCAGATGAAGTAAGTGAGCGTTCTGAGAGCAGTTTTTCATAATTAAAGCTGTGAGAGCAGACATTTGTGGGTATTTTATTGTTTTTCTTTGTTCTTCAGGCTGTCCCAGTTCCCTGCTCTGGAGCTGGACAAGTTTCTGGAAGATGTGAGGTAAAACCGATTCTCTGGATGAGTTTTCACCTCGTCCCGTGACGGCATGCTGATTGTTGTGCTGCGCATTCAGGAACGGGATCTATCCTCTGACGGCGTTCGGGATGCCCCGCCCACAACAACCTCAGCAGGAGGCTGTGAAGTCGCCCGTCGTCCCCCCCTCGGTGAAAACTCCGACTCCTGAACCTGCTGAGCTCGAGACGAGGAAGGTAAGAGCTCAGACTGAGAGTTAAAGGTTAAAAGTGATGTAAGACGGGATGATATCGCTCTCACTCGTTTACCGACAGGTTCTGCAGATGCAGTGTAACATCGAGCCTGTCGACGAGGGCTCAAAGCACCACGTGAGCTTTAATTACAGCCTTTGCTTTCCCCCGCCGACGTTCCTTTATTTAACTATTCGCGTTCTTTCTTTCAGCTGACGTTGTTGTTGAAGCTTGAGGATAAACTGAACAGACACTTGAGCTGTGATTTGTTACCAAGTAAGCATCCTGATGAAGGTTCACCCTCCTGTCACGCTTCAGTTGTTTTCATGGTGTTCTCTATTACAGACGAGAATGTGCAGGCGCTGGTGGTGGAGCTCGTGCAGCTGGGATTTATTAGTGAAGTAAGCGGAGTTTAACAGTGAAGAAGCTGCAGTAAGACCACAGCTGATGGTTTCATTTCACGCTTCTCGTCCGTTTCTTTCAGGGCGATCAGAATCGTCTGGCGTCCGTTCTCGAAGAGGCCTTCTCCAGGTTCTACAACCGGAACGGTTCCCTCAACCCGGTGACGGTTTCCTCCTAGCCGAGGACTCGCCGGGCCTTCTGTCAGCCCGCCTCCCCCTCTACAGCAGGACTAGCTCTTTTGCTCCATGTCTGAGTCGCGGGAAAGCTTTGCAGGACAGAGGAGGAAGCTTCGGTCTGATTACAGATCAGCAGCGTCTTCAAGTAACTTCTGATGGGAAAGGCTGCCACTGAGTGGCTGTCGCTTTCTCTCCTTTTTCTTTTTTCTCACACAGCCATCTGCTTCTCTTTTAAAAGAGGAAATTCTAGTTGCAACTTCATGGAAAATACAAGTGTTTAGACTGTTTGGCTTGTTTCTTTCATCTCTTCTGCTGTGGAAGAAGAAAGCAAAGCCAAACAGGTGGTGTTGGTATTTTCCTCATGTCAGTGTTGAAGTTGTATTTTAAACCTTTTTACTTAAAACGTGTCCGATAGAGTCGTGTCTCTGCCTGTCGTCCCAACAGAATGAAGTGTGTGTGTTACGGTGTTGTGTGGTTACGACTGGGTCTTTTTAACGTTCTCCTGAGCAGCGAGGGAGGCGTCTTCTGACCTTGGATCTGTTTAGGAAGCAAAGAAAACAACCAGTATCAGTTTTCCTTTAAATTCTCTTAATTTTGAGAAACTCACAAAATACTCAGTTGCGTCACGATCTGATGAGCTTAAAAATATTTAAAAGTTATTTATTTGTCCAACATGCTTCACTTCCAGCACCAAAGCTGGTCATTGATTGTATGCTTTTTACTCGCTGTTACTTTCCATAAAATACAAACCTGTGGTCCAATTGCTGTGAGTAGAAGATAGCAGCACGTCAGTCAGCGCCCGCTCTGAAACCTTTCACTGCTGTCATTTTTACGCTCGGGATGTTGGTTCGACGGATGTTTGTCTTTCTGTGGATGATCATCAACCGGGTTTGATGATCTCGTGCATCCTGTGTCTAAATGGAAACCTGTGCATGGAATAAACTGGCTTCTGGAGTTGGTTCTGCTCTCTTATTTATGATTGAACTTAATCTGTCACAGAGTTAAGCGTAGATTGTGTGGCACTTTAGGAGATGCCTGATGCAACGCCGTTCTGGGTCAGATGACACCTGTCTGATAACTGTTGGAGGATCTCTGCTCGTTTGCACGGTTTTACACTTTTCTACATCCTGTCGGAAGCGTCCAGCTTGTGCGGCATGTGCGCACCGGCTGGAGTAACGTAGGCGATTGGGAAAGGGGTAACTACCTCCTGCTGGGGTCTGTAGATACGATTGTGGGATTGCCTGGCATCCTGGGAACCATCTACATCAGGGCTATTCAATTCCGGGCCTCGAGGGCCGATATCCAGCACGTTTTAGTGGTTTCTCTGATCCAACACTTGATTCAGTGGTTGAATCACATGTGCAGCAGCTCATCAGGCTCTGCAGAAGCCTGTTAATCACCTACTAATTGAAATCAGGTGTGTTGAAGCAAAACCTGCTGGATACCAGCCCTCGAGGCCCAGAATGGAATAGCCCTGGTCTACATGATATTCTGGATACAACTCCGTTTCCACAACCTTTCTTCGTTTCTCAATATGAAAAAAAAAGCCAAATCAGCAGCACCTGATGTTTCGACAAGCTAACAGCTAGGCTCAACAGCTGGTTGTTTCTAAAACAAATGCAATCTCATCTGAAAACATTTAGGCGGTAAGACACAAAAATGTGTTAACAAAACTGCTCAACTCTTTACAAGAAGTATGTGTGAAAGCTGAGTGGATTTGCCGTAGTGTGACGTCATTGGCAGGCGCAGGACTCGAGCATATCTGGCACCTATCATCTGTCTCCAACCGACCAGGGGCACGGTGAGGGTCGGACAAAATGGAAACTGAAGTACTTGCTAAACATTTTAGAAAATGTATTGGAGTAAAAGTAAAAAGTAGGCCTTTAAGAAAACTACTCAAGTACAGATACAGGAACTTTGTATATCTTAGGTGTGTTCTTGCTGTGTCGTATCTCTAATTTACAGTGGCCCAGAAGGGTCATCAAATTACAAAAGCCACAACACAACAAAGTCATTTATCTTCAAAACAACATACTTCAACACTGTTAACTGAACAACGTTTTAATTACTCTTCCACTCAAACTCCCGTTACCGTATTTGTTTGTTGTGGTGCTTCTTCTTTCTCTTCGTCAACAATGTGGCGCGTTACCGCCAACTACTGGTTCTGGTTTTAGCAGAACTTCCGTTGTAGTTTTTCTTGTGTTGTGTTGTGGGTTTTGTTGTGTTGTGGCTTTTTTAATTTAATGACCCTTCTGGGCCACCGTACTAATTCCATGCTGTAGTTCTTTTTTAAAACACAGAGCAGTTTTGTTTACCTGTTTTCCCGTTACGTTTCAGCAGGAAAAGGGGTAAACAAAACTGCTCTGTGTTTTAAAAAAGAACTACAGCAAGGAACTTTGTACTTAAGTACAGTAACTAAGTACTTGTACTTCCATTGCACTGCTGCCTGGAGGCCAATGGCTGTTTGTTGAACATGTTTTGTCTCCAATCTCAAAAATAGGATCAAAATGTTACCAACCGCTAACACTTTAGCATCAAATGAGTATTTTAGCAGAAATGTTATCAAAAGTGCTAAAGCTAGCGGCTGCTGGTGCTGTTTGCAATCAGCCATAGATAATCACATAATACAAAACGGATTGGTGTAAATTTATATAATTAGCATTAATATTAACTAGTATGATGTCTAGTGAGACCGATATTTCCTCAGGCATTCTACAAATCCTGTTGGCTAATTTTTTTAATTATAGGGGTAGAGCGATATATCGGTCATCTGATATATTGAGCCAATATTTACCATTTTTTTTAATATAATTGCCATTGGCTGATTTACCTCCTAATTAAAGCCAATTTAAAGTCAGGCAAATTCTTGGGCAGCCTGGTGTTGCTGCAGAATTTCATTTAAATGAATATTTAAGTTCCTGAATAACATTGTGTTGAATGCAAAAAAATATTTTCAACCAAAATTTCTTTTTATCAGTTTTAAATATTTAATACTTGGTCTGATTTTTGTGTGTAGATGTCTGATTTTAACACGGAGAAGGTCACAAAGTTAAACTCAGTGTTCAGAAACTGTTTCAGCTTCAGAAATTTTGAGGATCGACTGATATTATCAGTGGAGTTTTAGCGCGCAGATAATGAGGGGGGAAAACCCCTAAATCAGCTTATCAGACCTTATCGGTCTACCCTTAATTATACCTTCTCTTTCTGAGACTTAAACAAACATGCAGACACACAAATCAGACAAAATTCAATAGTTTAATTAAATAATTCATACAAAACCCCATCCTTGTGTATCAGAAGCGTGACCTCTAACCTCAGAGCATCAGTGTTTGTAAAACATTTTGAACAAATAATTCAAACGGTAGCCCTTGGACAAGTGTATTCATGTACATAAATAAATCCACGTGTGCTCGGACGGCGGTCGAATAAAACACATTTCATGCCGACAAACTGTCGTAGAAAAAGACGGCAGTAAAAGAGAAGAACAGCAAGACTAAAAAATAGTTTTTATATAAAACACTTTAAGAAACACGCTCTAAATAAAAAGCTACCAAAACGACCACGGCTCGTTTGAGTGGTTTTCGGCGGCGTGGGGATTTTCTATTCTGTACATTTGTGTGTAAAAAAAACTACAAAAACCGTACATAGCACTTCAAACACGTTACTGTTTCACATTAAATTCATGTTTCACTTCCCAGTTTGAAAGTATTGTATTTAGGCACAGTAATTAAATCCGTGAGCCACGTCAGTTCACCTGTTCTCAAGCCGCTCCGCTCCAGTTACTGCACCTCATCAGTTCTCAAGACTGCCGCCAGGACGCTTCAAACAAAGCTGACATCTGTTCTGTAGAAATATTCCAACTCATACAAGTCTCTTTCCCAAAACACGGATTATTTTTAGATTAAAATAAAAATAGGAAATTAAATAAACTCAATAAATCCACAAGTTCTGTCTGAATTTCAGCACAATCCAAATATTTTTCTATTTACAATCGAGACAAGCTGACAAACATTTCGTTTCACACTTGCCTTAAAAATGTTTAATAGTTACATTTATGCTCCCAGAAATGGGTATAAATTACTGTGGACATTTTTTTTAATAAATCCAATAAGGAAATTCATATTTAAAAAAAAACACCAACAAGTTTAAATTCACTTCCTTTGGAATACCGGATTATTCTGTATTCTTATAGATTTCCATCTCTTTATAATTGAGACACATTTCACAATAGAATTGAAGACGAAACACCGAAAACGGTCGTGGTTAAGAATCTCAAACGAGAATATTTCTGATGTTTACACCCGAGTGGCGCAGCTTGTAAACAGTAAAATTAATTATGGCTAAGTTCCGTTTAGCTGCTCTGGTTCCACTGAGCTCGTCGTCACTATTAGAAAATAGCCGCCAACTGTGAGCAATTTTTTTTTTATTATCTTTTTTTTCTGAATATTTTTGTCAATATTGCTGCAGAAATAAAAACTAATTCAAATAAAGGGTTGAATTGCTCCAGTTATTGAACAACACTTAAACCACGTAAAGTGGTTCCTTTCCCTTTTTTTTAAAGAATTCCAATATTTTACTAATACAGATTTTCATTTTTTGCACACAAGACAAAAATATTGAGGACCAGCTTGTCTAAGCAAACAAGATCTGAATCTGCTGTTGTGTGTCATTATGTTCAAAGCGCCGCCTTATGCAGCTCTGCATATTAAATACCTTGTCCCCCCGCCCCCCCGAGTGAAACTCTTGGGAGTTTTGATACAAACAGGAACTATAAAGATGGTTTTCAAGTTAGCACCAACAGTGCAGAGACGAAGGCATTGGACTTGTGGAGGCTCGGACTGTTCCTGCTCGTGTCTTCATGGCGTTGTTTAGCTCTGGTCCTGACGAGGAGAGCTGCGGATGCATTGAAGCTCCAGATCATCCTTTTATTTCTTCAGACACTGGTACATGAGTGCCCTCGGATTCAGCATGTAGCGCTCCGAGTTCAGGAACTTGGTGAGATACTGAGGAACCTGCGGCCGTGGAGCCACGTAGGACACACCAGGACTGACCGCCATCACCTCTGCGATTTTCTGCTTCATCTCACGGATCTCCCTGTCCTGCTTCTTTACTTTATCTGTTGGGCAGGTGAAGAAATATGAGAATAGCCAGCAACTTGAGTAGGAAATGAAATAAAACACTTATTTCCATGCTGTAATATATTATTTTTAGGGGTGGGACTTGATTAAAAATGTATCCAGTTCATCCAAGGCTTTGTAATTAATAACATTAACTGTTCGTGGCAATATGCACCTAGGCAGTTTTTAAATAAAACATAATGTCAGTGGGGTACAGGTAACATACCCACACTTTAATGAGCATATTTCTGTAACCACAAGGTCTATTTTATTACGTTGGACTCATTATAAAAGGTAGCCATTGTGGGATTTATTGGGATGTGTAAATATTAGTAATTGTGTTATTGATGAAGTATAAATGAACATCGTAAATGTTTACGAAACTGACCACTAGGTGGCAGCAGAGCACCGCTGATATAGATGGGACCAGTTTGGCTCCCTGGAAGAACGAAAAAATGAACGCAAGTCAACTTGGCTAAAAACACTATTTTCTAACTCCGCTTGTTTTGTGCCATGGATTCCACATGTGATCGTGAATTTTAAAGACACACTTTGATACCAAGAACGATCTTATTTTCAAATGGGAGGGAACAATATTTTAGATTTTGTGTGGAAACAAGTCCAGGACTACAAATGTGCTTCACGAAAGTGACTTCATCGAACCAGACGTGGAGAAAACTGAGGAAATGGCTGCAAGTTCAGCAAACTTCCCACAGGAGGAAAGAACCACCATAAATATGGTTATTTGGTAAATTGCAGCTACGCTAGAGGAGAGGAGATTATGTGGTGACGTCACATATGCGACATGCAGAATTCTAGCTTGTAGTCGTGCGAATTACGAACTTTTAAAAGCTAATAAATCTCAAAGTACGTGACTGGAGTGGTCGAAAAACCCATCATTACTTTTAATTAAAATTGCAGTACAACATATGTACGATCTAGGGATTAGAGCAAAGCGGATTAGAAAATAGCGTTTTTAGCCCCGTTGACTTGCATTCGTTGTTTTCGTTCTTCCGGGGACCCGTGGTGCGTAGAGGGTGAGTGCTGCATGTATGCTTGTCCCTCCTGCTGTTATAAAGTTCATATGAAAAAAAAACTACTGCCTGCCTACTTTCTACCAACTAGAAAACAAAACAGTAAAAAAGTTGATTTTTGTTTCCCTTTTTTTCCCAAGAAGAGTGATTTATCATGACTGATTTAATTGTATGAAGATGAAGTTGTGTTTGGAGCACGTAAAGAAGGTTTGTATGGTCTTGTAGCCCAGGCTCTGCTGTTTTGTTAGAGGTGCAGCTTGACTATATTTATTGATATATATATGGAATCAAATGTGATGCTAAACCTTTCCGGGCCCCAACTGGGGGTGCTCAGGCTCACAGGGGTCAAATTTAAATGTGTTATTTTATTTTTATTAATTAATTGTAAATAACGAGTTAAATTCCCACCTCTAATTATTTTATTATGTACTTTAAATCTATGAGTGCTGCAGCGCACACACACGCGCACACACACACACACACACACACACACACACACACACACACACACACACACACACACACACACATATACACACACACAAACTAAATGACTTAATGACTGCAGAACGGCCCGGTGAGTCATCTGGCTGCTGTTGCATTCATGACTTATGACACATATTTGTAGAAAAGTGACACTAATAGCTGGCTCTGACAAACAAAATGAACAAAACAAAGGGCAAAGCTTTGGAAATGGTGCAAATGTTTGAGCGAAACATGGTTTAATTAACAAATCTTCACAAGACAGCAGGTGGTGCTGATGTCAAGCAGAATAAAATACATGAAAAAGGCTCCAATACAAAAATCTGAAGATATTTACAGTGAAAAACTCCCAAACTAGATTAGTAGCAAATTATTGTTGTTTACTTCAGTGTTATTTGTCCCTAATGGGGAGACTGATTCACATGAATCTGAATTTAAAAACATTACTAATTACTAAACAGTTACTAATTTTCTAGAGGTCATTTTAAATAATCTGGTGGATTTTTATGGTTTTGAACAAAGCAAAGCTAATGTGTAATGCGCCATTTTGACCACATGGTGGTGGTGTTGCAGCTAAACCTGGAATTGCATGAAACTAGGTGATTTGAATCTGTTAAACGAGGTTAAATATCCAACCTTGAGCGATTTCCAGCTGCCTGCGAGCGTCTCCCAGAGCTGAGAAAAGGTCCAACTTGATCCGAGTCTCGGCGCTCAGGTTGTACTCCAGATGCTGAGCCTTCTCCTGCATGGCTGATAAGGTGGACAGCAACATGTCTGTCTCTTTCTCCACACAGCGGTACTTTCCCAAAGCCTGAGTTCAAAAACACATCAGTGATGAGGAGAAACATAAAAAAAATATCAAAGTCCTCCTGCTGAGGACACCTGAGGGACTCTCCTTTGGTTTCCCAAGCTTCTTTTTCATGAATAAAGTATTTGATGAATTTGCTCAGGTAACCAATGCACCATATACACATTAAAACAAATATATTAGATTATTTTAACATTTTTTGTTAAGGTGTCCTGAAGCAGAAGCAGTGCAATGTTGTCCTGACAGACTTGGTCCAAGCATGCATACATGGAGAAAAATGGCGCTAGCATGAGATCAAATACCACATGATATGACGGCGCACACACCTGATGCCACACAGAAACCACCATTCAATAATACTGCACACTGATGGGATGACAAAGTGCAATATGTTGACCGCAGGCCAAAATAAAACACAAAACACACTAAATGTCCTTGTGGAAAACCCCATTCAGATCAAATTTCAAGACAAAAAAACAACAAATTAAAACAGGAAAAAGTTGATTATGACCAAACTCAGGACGACGGAGCACTAAAACCACGTCAGACTCACAAACACTTAAAAAAAAACTCACAATTTCATTCCCAAGTAGAGTAAAAAAAGATACCTCAATCTCTCTCTCTAGATCTACCACACGACTCTCTTTCACTTGATACTCCAGCTGTAGTTGTTTGTACTCTGTTTCTAGATCTTTAACTCTTTTCCTTAACATTTGGGTTTCACAGTGTTCCTGCCTGGTGTAGGAGACGGAGAGAACATGAAGGGGGCGGGGCTTCATCAGGTTACAGAAATAAATCATTTAAATAACAATATTGGATTCATAAATCATTTTAATAATAAATGAGAAAAGGTTATTTTTCAGAGATACTTTCATAAGATGCTTTAAAAAACTGCCACAACATTATGACCACCCACTTTAAATGTCTATACACTTTGAATGTTATTGTTTACATCCGGGTAATAGCGCACATCCACAACGCTGGAGGGCAAAAGAGCCCTCTGTAGTTATCCAGAGCTGAATCTCCAAGAGTTAAGCTAACAAAGTCAAACCTAGAGATTTAGATATTGTTAGATCATTTAACACATTTTTGTGCAGATGATCAAAAAAGTACATCTCAAAGCTAACTTTGTTTAGCGCTAAGCTTCCACATCTGTTAGGGTTTTACCACAACAGTGGTCAGCAGAAGCTGGGGGTGGAATCTTGGGCGCGTGATGTCACGCGTAAAGGGGTGGATGGCTAGTAATATGCTTGCTTTTTTACCTCGCGTTGACGCAGGCAGCGGGCTGCATCTTGGTTCACATACTTGCTGTTGCACTGCACGTAGTACTGGAGTATCCCACTAGGGGGCACCAGTAGAGAACTCAGAGTCCCGAGTTTGTAGTGTACAACCAAACAAACGAGGCTTCAATAGAAGAGATCAGTAACTAGTTAACAGACTAAAAGACAGCAGCTGTGTCGCAGAAAGACCTCTAAACCGGAGACGACGTGACAATGGCAAGTATCTTTCACTAGTTTTATCAACTCCCCCTACTGGTTACTCGCATATTGCAGCTTGTGAATGTATTGCGTTAAATTCAGAGGACGTGCACAAACAATGTACTGTATTAAAAATACACAAATTACACGAGGCACCCTAACACGTGATTAAAAGCAAGTGTATTCCAGCCCAAAAGACACGACTTTCCACCGGACGCATAATCATTGCTTAATGTCTGTGAAGCGTAATACGCAGCTAATAGCTACCATTATAGTAAATGGGTGTGTTTCCACTAGACGCATCTAGAGGTGGGAAAATGATCGATTCTAAGATGCATCGCGATTCAGCCGTGCATGATTCCGCATCGATGCAGCAACATAATGAGATTCTCTCCCTATGTCTATGTCGGGGGTCGGCAACCGCGGCTCTGGAGCCGCATGCAGCTCTTCCATCCATCTGATGCGGCTCTCTGTGCTTGTAAAATAATAAATGGATATTTAAATAAAATGCTTTATATTTTACTGCATTAATTTTACATCTGTAAGCCAATTCTAAATGTAAAGATTGTCTGCGTAAACCTGAACAGTTCCAACCCGGTCTTACTGTGAGACCGGGTAGACGCGTCACGCTTGTGCGTAATCATATGCGTGTTCTGAGCTGACGAGGATGTGAGATTCTGGGATTCTCCTCAGCTCCTGGATGTGTCGCCACATTGGAGACAGGAACAAGTGCTATTCAGCCAAAGTTTCATAATCAGGGAGCATTTTCTAAGCGACAAGTCACGCTTCAGTCGGAGGAATCTTCCTGCATGCGCCCTGGTTCTGCGACGTGCTCCAAGCCCCTCTCCACATCTTCAGCTCACTGTGCGCCGTACGTACGCGCTGACAGCGAGCTGCGCTGAGCTCCGTGTCCAGCTCAGAAGGGAATCAAGTGATTTAGCTACATCTGTGATGTGCGAAACGAATAAAGTGTCAGTTCGTCTGCATGCGTCGGGGTCTTTCTATTCTTTCTCCGTCAAAATAAATAGTCAAAAACGGGAACTATCCAGTCAACACAACACAAGCCCTGCTTTTAAGTGTTTTGTTTTCTTGTGAAAATAGATATAATTTAACTTGATTAACACCAGAGCCAGGCGCACTGCGCCATTATCTCCGTCACTGTAAATGAGGGAAAAACAAAATGATCGGATCCTTTTCTGACCTCCCCCACCTACAAAGTTTAATTACAACAATCAAATGTGACAGAGCCTGGATTTGTATTCTGAACAGTCTAAACATGTTTTAAAAGAAACGTATGACAAAAGTGGCACCTGCTCAGTAAAACCACCAACAGGGTGAAAAATATCAAAATATTGTAGCAGAGACAGGCTACAACTTCTGGATCCACTTTATATAAATTGTTTTATTGATTATCTTCTTATGAAAGATAACTTTGACGTACACGAGCGACCGGTACCGGTTGCTGTCTGAGGGTAGGCCCCGCCCACAACGCCGCGGCTGCTGCAGGGTTTTCTTTACTGTGGGAAACGGGTAATAATGCCTCTTTGATGGGAACAGGTTGCCGACCCCTGGTCTATGTCTATGCGAGGACAATAAAATTTTGAGGTATTACTTCTGGGGGCAGAGTTGCAATGACATGCGCACTGCGTTGTCCTAGAAGCAATTGGACAGGGATACAGGGCCAACATTACCAGTAATCAAAGATGTACCCGTTACATTTAAATCGGATGTCTGGGCTAATTTCTGTTTTGGGATCCTGGATGTGAAAGAATCACTTAACACAGTCTTTGTTTACTATTTTTAAGTTCAGTAATATTCTATCTTAAAGCTGCTCTACCGAAAACATTATTTCTTGAATTATTTAAGTAATTATAGGCAGCACACTTTAAACATTATTGCTCACTATAGTGAATAGATGAATGTTCTGTTTTTCAGGGATTTCGAAATCAAAAAGAAATTGAAAACTATTCTACTGCTTTTATTAAGTAATGAAAAATTTTGTGTGAAGAATCGTGATGCATTTCAGACTCAAATCGAATCGTTAGGCAGATAATCGGAATCGGATCGAATCGTGAGGCAGGTAGAGATGCACACCACTAGACGCATCCCAGAAGCGTATTGTCATGGTTTACTCTTCGGGTCTATTTTTAGCTGTTCAGATCAGGCCAGACAGGAAATCAAACACGGGAGCTTCCGGCAACTTTCAAAATAAAAGAAAGAAGCAGATTTTCTATCGTTTACTAAAAAATATGCTACATATGAATTCATGCGGCTGTCTTTCTCCTTGCCTGCTATTGCGTGAACTAGTGAAATCACGTGTGATTTTGGAATTCTCCTGTGATCTCGCAAGACCAGCTGCATGGGGCACATTCGCAGCCATCTGGAACGCTCCTGGCTGGAAGGGAATCATCGCTGAGGTTGCGGTGAACGCGTCCTGTACGTTACGCGTCCCGTGGAAAGCCCAGGTCACATCTGTGGCGTTAGCTGTGAGGGGGTCATAAAGCTGTGGCTCACTGCAGAGAATTAGAAGAGGAGATCCACACGACTCATCATGAGTATCTGAAGGTTAGAGCTAATAAAATCTGATAAATAACAATCCAGGTTTTGGTTGTTATCTGATGTGCAGCTTTTGATCTTTTTATGACACAAAAAAATGGCAAATGTGAAGTAAATGTGGCTTCAATTATATTAAAAGTAGTTAATGACTTTTGGAACTTGCTGCTTTATCAGCTCAAAGGCCGTCGGCGACCCCTGTACCCTCGGCTCCCTCCAGCCGTTGATCTCCTCCTCCAACTCACAGCAAGCAGAACTCAGTCTAATCAACCATTTGTCTGGCCGAACACTCTCCACAGCATCCAATCACACTCAGCAGGATCCAAACGCCTGAAAGCACCGACTCACTTCTGGAAAGCAGCGGGGCTTGGTAGGAGTGAGTTTACCTGCTTGTTAGACTCCGTGCCGCACTCGCCGCCTCCTCCTGTTTCTGAGCCTGAAGCTCGGCCAACTGCCTCTCAGCAGAGAGCCTGGCTTCTGCCTCTGCTCTGCTCTTCTTCTCCAGCATCACGCTGGTCTGCTTGTCCCGCTGCTTGGTTTTAGTCAAGCACAGAATCCTAAAACAGAACATTAAGATTGACTTTTTTCTGGCACGAGTTGCTTTTTTTGTGGGTTTATAAGTGGTGTTTGTAGATCTCTACAGAGAAGACTGAATCAAAATCACACACTTGCTCTGCAGCAGCATGTTGGACTGTCTGAGGAGGGACACCTCTGGCCTCAAGCTCCTCTCGCTGTTGGTCAGGTTACAGACGTGACTCCGCAGCTCCTGTTCGCTCTGCCTGCTCGCCTGCAGCTCGCTCCTCAGCCTCCGCAGCTCCACCTCCAGCCTGACACAAATAAGGCGTGGATTTTACCATCCCGCGGTCACCTCGGCTCATCCGCGCTGAGATCATCTGTAACTTACTTGCTCATCTGCTCAGCGTGGTGACTCTGAGCTGCTGTGGTGGTCTTGTCTGCCGCGTCCCTGTTGGGGCTGATTGTTTTCGAGCTCATCCTCGATTTCTTCTCAGTCCTTCCTGCAGGCGGCGAAGGAGTGTTTGTGTTGCATCTGCGGGCTTTAGGTGAGGAACTTTTCGCCGCCCGCAGGGTTTTGCTTCCCTGCTCCTCTTGAGGTAGTATTTCTGGGCTTGTGGATGATTCCGGACCTCCTTCCCCGCTGTGAAGCTGATCTTTGAGCTCAGCTGCGACTGGCTTGGCGAATAACGCCGGCCGCCGGTTCAAATCGGCCGATCTCGACTCGGCTGCTCGCTCCTCGGTGTGGATCTGGAGGCAGTCCACGCTGTGCACGTCATCGTGGGCCACCAGGGCGCCGTTCTGACACTGGTACTGACCCGAGTCGGGCTTGGCCTTCCATTTAGAGCCTGCAAAGAAAACGCTCTTATTTAAGTTTTTGAAAATTAACTGCAGCTGTATGCAACTCCTCTCTTTTAAAATTGGCTCTCAACTCAAATTTGCACATAAAACTTCATTAAACACAAAACAGTGCCTCCAGCTGTGAAAACATTTACAGAATGACTCCTCTGGCTCTGGGGAAACATCTGGAAACCTAAGGAATAATGAGAAAATGAGCTAGATGCGCTCAGAGGTTTATTCTGCACAATCTTTCAGGAAACAGAATGTAAAAAAGATAAATATTGGCAGGTCATTGGATCTGTCAATCACCGTGGGTCACATGGGAACTTAAACCAATAAGAATAAAGGAGTAAAGCCAGCAGGTAAATCAAGTTATCATCAAAAGCATACAGCAAATCCAGTTTTTTAACCATCTGTCTCCTAAAGATAAAAGTTTTCCTATTAATCCACAAGCTAATGCTATTATTTTTAGTGAGAACGGAACCCAAACAGCCGATTTCAAAGATGGCGGATGCCACAGCCGGTGTGTGGACTCACTGCTACTGCCGTCTGAGCTGGTCTTGGAGTAAACCTGCAGGCCCGGCGGCAGCGAGTGCTGCAGGAGGTGCACGTGAAAGTCGTTCTCACTGTGGACAGCTTTCTGCACGCGCAGCTTAAAAATGTTGGTGAAGTAGCAGGTGGCATCGAACCCCAGATAAACTACAGGATATCCGATACTGCAAAGGAAAACAGGAAGCAAACAGAGAAAGTCGCTGTCAGTTTGACAAATGCAGAATAATAACACTTAAGAGTTTTCACACCTCGCATAGCGCCTCAATCTTACTAACCATTAACCAAAACATGAGAAAAACATCTCATTGAATCCGTTCTTTCATCTAAACAAATGCATTTCATGTAAACGAGGATTTTAATTTGCAGAATATTGGAATTGAAGCGTGTGAAGTACCAGTGTGCAGCAAAAAGATGAGAGAGGTTGGGATGAGAGGTATTAAGATCTTTGAGTCGAAGCGAAGCCTCTGTGTACACAAGGAGGATCCACAGGGACACAGACGATATGCAGATGCCCTTTTCTGAGGAGGGAAACAGGATTTAGTGGCAGAAATGACAGGAAAACTCCCCAAACCCAGAATAAAAAACAGCAAAGTGAAGCTCGTTTTAAATTCTGGGCAAATGAAGCACTCACAATCAAAACTTATAGGACTCCTTGAATTAAAGAGAGGGAATATCTAGCTTGTTATTGACACAGATCAAAGGCATTAGCGAAACTGACCCCTAAATGCATGAAAATATCAATAAAGGTCAATAATATATGCAGGTTTTGAAGTTGCAAGCTCCAGAATTGCTGAAATCGTGTTATTCCTTTCATTAAAATGGTATTAAACCAACCTGTTACCCACTAAAATGCATACTTTGATGCATATATTTGGAAAAAAAATATTGAAAACAAAAAATTGCTAATTCTGTATTACAAAATGCGTAAAAATTACATTTTGCAACAATAACATCTAAATAAAAGGCATTATGGGAAACCTTTACATTATGACTTTGCATAACACAGCACTGCCATCAAAACAAAGTGTTTATTTTAATGCATGGTGGTGCATTTATGGTATGAAGGACGCCAAGCACATACGTACCTGTGTGCCAAATATAATTGAATAACACGTAGGTGCTCGCCACAAAAAAAAGCCAGTGCAACGGAACAAAGATTAAACAAAAGATGTCCAGCGTGAAGGCAGCGCAAACAAAAACAACACAGATCACCTGAAAACAAGCAAGAAACACGAAGAGGGTTTAGTTAAATACATTATTCATCATTCAGGAGAAAGTCATGGTGTCTTATGGCTGCACGGAACAGGCTGGGGTTTTCGTTATGAGGCCTGCTGCACGCAGCTGGAGTCCTCACCAGCCCGTGGCAGTGGAAAGTGGTGTACACACTCCCGAAGAAGAGCCAGCATGGCCATAAATACTCCAGTCGGAATTCGAGGATGAAATCTGCCAGCAGCACCAGCGTCCACATCGCCATAAACTTCAGGAAGGTGTACGCACTGCCAAGAGAGGAGGGATTCTTTTAAAACGGGTTTTACCAACATAAACCTCTGGGGTAAGGATGGATTCTAGTCGGGACGAATGGGAAGCTAGTTTATCAACAACAAAAGACTGGGAATAAAACATAAACTGAGCAGCTGCGTCTGTGAAAAATAAATAAAAATACAGTCTGTCCCTTTAAGTGGAGGTGTCAAACAAACACTGCCCCTGCATTCATTTTGTTAGGCTGCCACAAGCCAAACAGGAGCTGTGGTTTCCTCCTTTGTTCTGCTCATCCATACACTGCCATCACATCACCCCTTTGTTTGGTTACCATGGTGATATTTCATCTGGATGAGAGAGGGCGCACCACAGCAACCCAAATTACTTTATTTAAATAACTATATTTTAAATGATCCAAAACATATTTTTAAATTAACATGCATTTTATCCCAATATTACAACAAAACATTTGTGCAATAATTTGAATCTGGGGGGTTGAGACAGAAGAAAATAAAATTAACGGCATCTTAATTATTGTAGTTTAATGATAAGAAAGGTTTAATTTATTTTTCAGGACAAAAACAAGATCATTAAAGCCTCGTTTGTTTTTTCAATAACATCAAATCAGCTTTTTTATTTTTAATTACCATTTCAAATCTATTTCATTATGTAAATAATGTTCAAATGAAGACCATAAAAGAAGATAAATCTGCATAAATAGAATAAAACTTAGCTAAACACATTTATATTCAAATAAAATATAATCATGCTGAAAAGCTAAGTGAAAAGATGCACAATAAAATCGGGGCTTACTCTTCTGTTGTTCATCTTTTCTTGTCTGGAAGGTTTAAATTTCGTCTTAATTGTGGCAAAATCAGCTGATTTGTTGCAGAAAACGGGACGATCCTGTTATATTTCCTGTGTTTATATTATTGTGCAAACAAGGAAGCATGAGGAGGTTTAAATGCAGCTGTCTGAAAAAAAACAATACAGGCCGACAAGCTCTTTTTCTGCCTTTCTGTAAACAATGTCGTCAGAAGTAACTCAGCGCTTTCCTATCCCCGCTCCCGCTAGCTACAGATGCTAATTTAAAGCTCCGGATTGACTCGATTAAAACGTGTAAGACGGATGAAGCGGTGGGGATGGGGAGGCAGACAGGTGAGCAGGATGACGACGGCTGAAATTCACACAAAGACAGGCACCACAACAAAAGCAGCAGCCGCCAGGCGCCGCGCTCGGTTACCTCTCAGACAGCTTCTCCGTGATTTTCATTTTTTTCATCTTCCGAAGCCTGTTCCCGTCCACATATCGTTTCTTCATCTTATGGCGTCTGCTCCCTCCGTGCTGGTGTCTTTACACCGCGGCAGCGACGGCGAGGAGCAACAAAAAGGAGAGAGTGATGAAAATAAATAAAACAAACCCTTTTCTCCCCTCCTTGTGGACGAAGATGCTCACTCCAGCCTCCAGCCTGTGATGAGAGCGCCGCGGCTCTGCGCATGCGCATTGCGGGTTGCACCTACAAGTGTTGATCACAGGAGGGGAGCAGATCAACACAATGAGCTCACACGGAGTTAAAAACGTGTAGCATTATTCATCAACACTCTAAATAAGACATGTTTTATCTTTATTTGAAGAAGAAAACAAAAATCCGGGTGAATTTTTTTATGAAACTCAGAAATTACAATCAAAGAAGGCTGAAAGAATAAACATTAACAAACACAAAGGACCATAAATCTGCCATTTTAGCAAATATTGAGTTAAGTTTTGGTATTTTAGTTGATGAAGGTGATTCACAAAACATACTTCAAGCTCTACCTGACTGCATGAGCTCTTTGATTAAAAATGTATGTAGAGACTTAGCAATTTTGGCTAGCTTTTAGCACTCCCCTAGTGTTCAATTAGTAAAACCATAATGAAAATTTTCTCCTCTGTGTTCATTTTAACACCTTAATCCAGGACTATTCAATTCCAGGCCTCGAGGGCTGATATCCAGCACATTTTAGTGGTTTCTCTAGTCCAAGACAATGGATTCAGAGATCGATTCACGTGTGCAGCAGCTCATCGGGCTCTGCAGAAGCCTGTTAATCACCTGCTGATTGAAATCAGGTGTGTTGAAGCAGGGGTAAAACCAAAAACGTGCTGGATACCGGCCCTCGAAACCCTGAATTGAATAACCCTGCCTTAATCTAATTGCGTCAATCATGGATGTCATTTTGGCTTTAGAAATGGGGGGACACGGGGTGGGGGTGTGGGGTGTGTGGGGTGTGTGTGTGTATCTTTACAGTATGCTCTAATGGGAACCAGGCTTCAACACTAACGGTTGCTTTCCTCTTTGTCCTAGAGCTCAACTATTGTCAGTTTGATATAGCGTAATACTGTTTTGGATGGTAAAAAGTGCGGGGTCAAAACTTGACTTTGGAAAAAGTGGGGAGGACATGTCCTCCCCCCCCCCCAAAATTACGTCCATGGCGTCAATGTCTACCCAGCATTCATTAGTGTCTACAGAAGTGATTCAATTAAATAAATCAGCTGTGTTCATAATCTAAAACATGCAGGAAACATGCAGGATGCGGATGTCAGCTCCATTTTACAAAGTCCACCAGCCCACCACTCTGAAGTTGCAAGTGCAGTATTCTGGCCAGAGAGGGCAGTGAGGGTCTGAGTGACATTTCGTTAATTCTGCAAAGGGTCCTTTTAGAAAATACTGGTCCAAGAAAATGATTTAAAAATATGAAAAAGTTGCATAGTATCCCTTTAATTACTAGAGTCAGTCATGAATTTTAGCCTATTGTCTTTCCTCTCCTTCCTGCCTGTGTCCAGGGCCTGGTTGCTGCCCTTAAGGTGGACTTTGAAAATATGTTTTTTGTGCTAAAATGATTCATTTTTGTGTATCATGAAGTAATCATCAGACTGGAATGGACATTCAGAGTGATCTTAGGAGAAGTGTCCAACCTACTTCAAATAATGTGATGGAAATGGTAAAACAAGTAAGCAAAGACATAATTCTACGTCTGGCACTACAGCGTAAGAATTCTCCAGTAATTTCTTTTCTTACGTAAACTAGATTATTCTGTGTTCTTGTGTGGCCCTAACATATTTTAGAATGAATAAAAAGTATTTAATGCACACTTTTAATCCCATTCATAATAATTAATTTCAGACAGTGATGGACGATCAAGTGCACCGATGAAGCTACACAACTCTGCAGTTCTGTCACCATCTATAATTTAAGTAGCTACAACAAAAAGACTCTAAAATCAAATGAGAAGAAATGCAGATTTGGTCTTTATTTCCCTTTTCTTCAACTTCACACTTAGTGGTCATTAAGTAATAATCCAAAATGTGTTTTGCCTTCTCAGAAGAAATTAGTGACATTTCTGGGATAGTACCCAGCGTAAGTCTTTGTGTTTAATATTTGACGCTCTGGCCTATATCGCAGAAGAAACAACCTCCTGGCTGGGGCAAGTCATACCCCCCCCCCCCCCCCCCCCCTCTGGCTGTCCCGACGCCTGCGACATCAAGCTGTGCAGTGAGCAGCGCTGCGTGTTAGTGCTTTTAGCAACAAAATGAGAGGAATAGAAGTGTGCAGAATGGCTAATCCCTAAATGCATTAAAACATGTGCATTTTGTGTGCATTTAAAAAAAATGATTAATTATTGTTTTACAAAACTGTGTTGAATATCCGTTAGTGTTGTTTAGCAGCTTTTGATGACCTTTTTACATGTTGCCAAGTTGCAAAACTGGTTGTTTTTGTATGTCAAGTTATATATTTAATATTAGCTTCCTGTTTTCTTGTTTCCCAGCTGACTTCTGACCCTACGCTGACCAGTAGAGCAACTCTCCTGAGCTGCAGCATCAGCAACGTGGCTTCTTGGTGTCCCGCCTACCGCAGATGTACCAATCACATTATCTAAATGTCAAGCATCCACGTGTGCTCTGACTCACCCATCGATTCCATTACAGATCTCTGACATCAGTGTTTGTGGTTTTTAATCTACACTAAAAAACAAAAGGTGGTTGGTTCAACACCTCTGGCAGTTTGACCTGCTCAGTAATTAGCCGAGGTTAGAGAGGAAGTGGATTCCTGGCACTGCGACTCGCTGGACAAACACAGCCTGCAGGGGTCGGTGCCCTTTGGCGGCGTGTGAGGTGTAAACTCAGGAAGGAGAACAAACCTGACAGGGTGGGTTTGGCACAAGTAGGGAGGGGGGAAACATCCAAAAGCTGAGCCAAGAAATATCCACATCATCGTACCTGCTGAACACATGGACCGCTGTGTGGTTCATGTGTTCATAGAAAGATGTTTTCATTCATTTTAATGAGATTTAGAACAACTACACTGTTTATGGTGCTATTTTATTCTAAGATCAAATAGAAAAAGATTTCTTAAGTTGTTTAATCATAAAATATTTAGATTTTTGTACACTTATTCTTTATTTTTGTCAATTTTGGGCAAAATATATAAGAATTTCATCTGTTTTCATTAATCTGAGTTTCATTCTAAGCCCTGGTTGTGACCATGTTGATTTTATTATGCCCTTGTGATTCAAATTGTGTATTTTTTTACACACTTTTTAAAGTAAAAGTCCCATTAATTCATCCCACATTGGTGAAATTTATCTCCGCATTTGATCCATCCCCGTGGGGAGCAGTGAGCTTCAGCAGTGGTTGGGCTCGGGAGCTGTTTGGTGGTTTAACCCCTCAATCCAACCCCTTAAAGCTGAGTGTCAAGCAGGGAGGCATTGGGTCTCATTTTTAAAGTCTTTGGTATGACCCGATTGGGATTTGAACCCCGATCTCCCAGTCCCAAGGTGGACACTCTACCACTAGGCCACTGTATTAGATCAGCATGCTCAGATCGACTGTAACTCAAACACTAGCACAAAAACACGCATTTAAATCTTTTAACTTTGGTGATAATTGGTGGCATCAGGAGATGATTTCCCTCCATTTCTGGTAACTTGTGGAAGAATCCTGTCAATCAGGCCAAAAGAATGCTCCTGTCTCCCTTCATCTGACGATGAGATGGCGTGCCTCTCCACCCTGGTCCAGATCAGGCTAAAACGATCAACCTTCGAGAGGAATGGGGGGATCTGCTCGATTGGATCCCTTCTGGGTTTTTCTGCACGCCTTGAGTTTCCACTCCGTATCCTTGAGATGTTTTGATTTTTTGGCTCATGAAATAATCCACAATAACTCCAACGTTTGATTTCCTATTGCCATGCCGTGCTATTGTGTTGAAATTAGCAGCTCTTCCACGCGATAACAGACTTCTTCCATTTAAAATAAACACTTGCCCCGAGTTTCTGTGATCTTGTATGGCTGCCAAAGAAGCTCTCTCTCCTCTCCAGCACATGCAAAGGTCGGTTGTTTCTACTCAACACGGGAAAAGCACCTGAAATGAGTGGATGGAGGAGTTGGAGGGAGATACAGTGGGGCAAAAAAGTATTTAGTCAGCCACCGATTGTGCAAGTTCTCCCACTTAAAATGATGACAGAGGTCAGTAATTTACTTCATAGGTACACTTCAACTGTGAGAGACGGAATGTGAAAAAAAATCCATGAATTCACATGGCAGGATTTTTAAAGAATTTATTTGTAAATCAGGGTGGAAAATAAGTATTTGGTCACTTCAAACAAGGAAAATCTCTGGCTCTCACAGACCTGTAATGTCTTCTTTAAGAAGCTTTTCTGTCCTCCACTCGTTACCTGGATTAATGGCACCTGTTTGAACTCATTATCTGTATACAAGACACCAGTCCACAGCCTCAAACAGTCAGACTCCAGACTCCACTATGGCCAAGACCAAAGAGCTTTCGAAGGACACCAGGAAAAGAATTGTAGACCTGCACCAGACTGGGAAGAGTGAATCTACAATAGGCAAGCAGCTTGGTGTGGAAAAAATCAACTGTGGGAGCAATTATCATAGGGATGCAACGATACCACTTTTTTCCAAACCGATACGATACTGATACTTGGATCTGAGTACTCGCCGATACCGATTACCGATACAGATACTTCTACCACACAAAAAAAATGCAATGAATTGGAATACAGGTTTTATTTTCTTCTGTTTTCAATAGGAAAAGACTGTGAGGTAGATAAAAAGTAGTGTAAGTGATCACAAAACTAAAATGTTAGGTGAACAGAAATGACAAGTTACAGTGAAGTCACTTTCAAGCAACTGCATTGGTATCAGTTACTGGAATTTGTTAACTTTTACCGATACCGATACTGGTATCGGTATCTGTATCGGCACTGATACGATACCAGTATCGTATCGGTGCATCCCTAAATTATCAGAAAATGGAAGACATACAAGACCACTGATAATCTCCCTCGATCTGGGGCTCCACGCAAGATCTCATCCCGTGGGGTCAAAATGATCATGCGAACGGTGAGCAAGAATCCCAGAACCACACGGGGGGACCTGGTGAATGACCTGCAGAGAGCTGGGACCACAGTAACAAAGGTCACCATCAGTAACACACTACAACGGCAGGG